CGACCCGACAAAAGTCGGGTTCGGTTTTAAAATCTTCGGGTCGGTTTCGGATATTTATTTTTTCGGTCGGATTCGGATATTATATACATCGGTCGGGTCGGAAAAAGTCGGATTCGGATAAAATTGCCATCCCTATGTATTATACTGCATAACATGATAGTTGAAGACGAGGGAGCCAACATCACTCGTTTTATAGATGAAGGGGTCACATCCACTTCCAAGGCTACCGCCCGTTAAGGTTCAGCGACTCAAGAGTCACCTCCCGAATTTCAAGATTTTGCAAATTGGCGTGCAAGTATGCGAGATGAACGAAGCCATGTTACCCTCCAACATGATTTGATCGAAGAAATTTTGGAGGCGCAACAATACTTAATTGTAGCATTAATTTTTATGCATCACGTCTTTTATTTCGATTTTTTTCATTTGTTTTTAAAACTTTAATTATATTTTGGTGTATTTCATCTTTTATTTCGATGTTGTTTTTAATAAAGAATGTTGATCTTATCATTTTTATTTTAATTATATGTATGTTGTTTTTTTTAAAAATAGATTTAAAAATGAAGAGTAATGTAAAAAACGGAGAGATGTTGGACATGAGTTCAAACCCCTTTACTATTTCTTCTGGAATATTTTTTTTTTGTTTTGATGAATGACAAACAGAATGATTAATCTCAAGCTGATCAAAAATTTATTTTCGTATCGAGAAAAGCAAAGAAGGGTATCAAGAAGTTTACGGCATTAAAAATCGACGATCACCCCTACGCAGATTTTTTTGAAGTGAAGTGAAGACTCCGAAGACTTTTTTATTTTTTAATTAAGTCTAGAAATCTTTGTAAGGATGACAATATTTTCTGCACAAACAAATTATTTTTTAGGGATAAAAATTATTATTTTCTGAGTCAGTTGAAAAATTATTTTTCCTCTGTCTAAAAATATTTTACTGAGTCAGTTTCAAAATAAGTGTGTCAAAATTTCTTAAAATGTTTTTTTAAGATTACATAAATTTTTTTTGGTAAGAAAAATATACTTTAAATATTTTTCGTGTACATCGTTTGACACACAAAATAATTTTTGGACTCTTTTTCTCTCCCCCACTCAAATTCATTGAATGAGATATGAGGAGCGTTGATATTCCCGCTGTCTCAAACAACGAGTTAGAAGCCAAAGGCTTCCAATCGCACTTGGCTTGGGCCCTTTATGTTTGCGCATTATTTCCACTTTAATCGATTAATTTTTCTAATTTAATCGATTAGATCCAGTTCTGGATTTCTCAAGCCTTCATTATTAGTCGATTTTTCTTATTCTTTTAATCGATTAGTTCTCACAGCGCACTCTAATCGATTTTTTCCATCAAACTTAATCGATTAAGATTGCATTTCTCGCTGAAGATTTTTTTCCAATTAATCGATTAATCTTCTTCATTTAATCGATTAGCTGAGACGGCGCCATCTAATCGATTATTTTGTCAAATTTAATCGATTAATTTTGCCCCTGTGCAGAAGACTCTTTCGCTTTTATACACCTTAATCGATTAAAATCTTTACTTTAATCGATTAATATTGTCTGGTGTATATTCTCAATTTGCTCCAACGGATCTTTTATTTTCCTCAGCCTATTTAATCCCTCATTCTCCTTCAATTTCTAACACAACTTGAACTCCAATATCTTCATTGAGTTATATTCATTTCTTGCTTCAATCTTCCTCGTCAAATATATTATTTTGAGAGTTAGAAATATTTTTATTGAGTGCTAAAGATTTTGTCATCCATAGAACTTTAATTCTTCAACACTACTTTGCTCAATTGTGTGAGCTTTCATTCTTGTGTTGTAAACTCAATCTCATTTGAGTGTTGTTCTTAAGATTTGTGTGACTCAAGTCTTGTTGTTGTAAGAAAGTGAGGCTTGTGTGATTCAAGTTCTCAAGTTGTACCGGTTTTCAAGCACCCGTTGAAGCTTGAAGATTAGTAGGACTTTCAAGAGAGTCTCTCGGAGGACTGGACTAGCCACGAGGTGGTGAACCAGTATAAATCTCGGTGTTCTTCTTTCCCTTACTCTCTTTATTTATTCCTGCGATTTTATTATTTCACACAGGCGAAAAACGCACATTCTTGAAAACAACTATATTCACCCTCCCTCTAGAGTTGCACATTTGTCTAACAAGAGATGATTTTCAGGTCGATAGCATTGCATGTTTTTGGGGTGGAGAGAAAATTAGTGAAATGCTGATGTGGCAAGGAGTTTGGGCGAGGTAGAAAAGCCCCCAATTGTAAATGCTATAATGCGTAAATAGAAATCCAGGGTGAAATGCAGATAAACTTTGCCCTAGGCCTATACAATCATCAAGTTTCAAACTCATTGCCTCATGGCGACAACGCAACCATTGCGCCAAAGTTCTCCTTCAAACTATTACCATCTTTGTTCCGGACTATTTGTCCAGATTTGATCTTTTATCGTAAACCATTTTTAACATTTCACCTTTAATTATATTAAAATTATGTGGTTTAATAATTATGTAAAATAATATTTTGAAAATAGTTTTAATATAACAAATCTAATAAAATTATTTTTGTAACAGTATTTAATGCTAATTTGATCTAATTAGTGGTGAAGGTTTGTCAATTTTGACTGAAAAAATTTAAAACTAGACAATTAATCAAGAACGGATGTAGCATTTTATACTCTATTTACAAAATTTACTAGACTTTGGATTGCAAACTATACCATCCAAGTATGCACCTTGTCAAGAGAACGGGTTTAGACCCGAACCCTAATAAAACTTGCATTCTTTTAGCGCGTTTGCGCTTACAAAAAATGTATTTACCAGTGTTAGTGATATCAGTCACATCGCATATTTAATATGATTAAATTTACTTCGAATAAATGATAATTTTAATAGACATTAATGAGTTTGGGTGTGTAGAATGCAAGCTTGTTCTACGATATTACAAATTTCATAGCGGGGAGCCTGAGGTGACAACCCGTGGTAGTGGCTTCTAAGGGGGGATAGCTCGAGAAAGTTTTATTTTGGACGTTTCTTTTTTAAAATGCTTCAGATTTTTGTAAACAAAGTCCAAAATGATATACATTCCAATGTCTCTAGGCTAAAATCTAATCTCTTTTTTTATGGTTGTGCCATCGCCGATCTCTACACTGACGATTGACTATCTGCCAAAGCCATGATGTCGTCGTTCCTTACCCCCTTTTGCTCTCCAAAAATTTATAAACGTGCCTAACATCTGTTGTCTCTTATCACTCCCTTTCCAAGAAAAATTGTATGGGTGGTTGAAGACTTGGAAACTACATTTATTTGTGTTTCTTCTAGAGCTGGAGAGCATTGAATGTGATAGAGAAGCAAAGAATGGTCCACAAAAAGAAAAAAACTCATTGCCCTCTCTCTAATCGCCAACACTCTCCTTAGAAAAACACAGAGCAAACGTAATCTCAAGTTTCTCCATCATGTCACAGAGATCTACCTCTCTACTTCTAGAAACTATCTCGAAACTGCTTTCGACAGCTCCATTCCAGTACCTGTGCTTCAAGCTAGTTCTCATTAGTCATTACTAATGACCAACTTGCGGTGGAATATTAGAAATTTTAGGGATAATATGAAGTTGAAACTTATTATTATCATTATTATTTACTTTCATATTCTATTGTTATCATAATTACTTATTCTACTCTAATTAAGATTCTTTATGTATTCCTTATATATAGGGATGAAACTTTTATTATTCATTAAGATCAATTACTATCAAATTGTATCAGAATGGTTGATTGCAAACATTCGAATGTTTTACAAAAAGTTGTGTTGTTTCATCAACAAACATGTCCATTCAAGTTTTAGGTACACAGAACTTCCATACTTGTTCTGGATATTTACGTCTTATTTGATTGAAGTAATTTGTTGTATCTCGAAATAACTTTAATTTGATAGCGAGTTTCATGTGATTCGCTACGTCTATCAAGTGACTTCATTTTCATTGTATACCATTCATATCTAATGCTTCTACAGAGTGCTCTCACCCCTCAAAGATTTCCTACAAGGCTAACTTGTACCTAATATCGCACCCGTTTCTCCCAAACTCGTGAGATATCAAAGCCATCCATTTGAAGGATTTGTTATATATAGAGATATAAAATTCGATATCTCTTTTAACTACACCAACTACCAAAAAAAGTTTTGATGTCTAAAAATATTAATACCCATGTATATTCTTTTTGCACACCAAACACTACCAAATAGAAGAACGCTAGACAAAAGAGAAAATGAAGAAAAGAATAAGAAAAAAGGGTGGGTAGCGATGTAAATTGAATAACTACAACATGCAATATGCGAAATTGAGGGAGACGATGAAGGCATGAAGCGTGAGGGGAACTTGAGGCTTAGGAGCGAGGAAGAATCTTAGGAGTCTCGTGGAGACAATAAGAAAAATAAGCTAGAAAAGGATAGAGAAAACCATGGGTGTTGAAGGAATTTGTAAATTAATGTGTTGTTGTGTAGATAGAATTTACTTTATATTGTGTAATACAGTTGTACTGGCCCGTGGGCCTTCTCTTGTAGAACCCTAGGATGCTCTTCCCTATATAATGGAGCTTTTATCAATAAACAAGATACACTTCTACCTACAACACGTTATCGCGACGCAAAAAAAACCCTAATTGATTTCGTCTACCTCTCCAGTTTTCCTTTTGCCGTTCTCCGCTGTGCATCGCATCGCCAATTATCCTCCGCTGTGCATTGCACCTCCGATTCTCCGCCATTGTGCATCACATCGCCAATTATCCGCCGTTGTGTACCGCATCGCCGTTCTCCGCTGTGCATCACAAAAAAAAGACCCTGTCGTCGTCCTCCGCTGATTTTCTTTTGTCCAATACCAAAAACCATTGACAGAGAGAGAAGGCAACCTTGATAATTGACTGCGCTACAAACCCAAACGAGAGGAAGACAAATTGAGGATCTTCTTTTCTTGTCGCTGGACCAAATTTCAAGAAAAGGAACAGAGCAGAGCCAAATTTTAGATCTTCTTTTCCAAATTTTCGATCTCCTTGCCAGGTCCAAGTATTCCAAAATTTTATCAGATCTAATCTTTAAACACTCAACATGGTACGATCTATATGATTATTTTACCTTGTAGAATCCGATTTGTGTTTGTGTGTACTACTCTGCCCTGTTTTATTCTAAAATCCAAATCCGATTTGAAGGCTGCTGTGTTTTTAGATCCATTTTTTAGGGCTGCTCTGTTCGCCAATAGTTTATAAAAAAGAAAAAAAATAGTCACATGCATTAACTGCCCTGGCACCATAGACATTTGAGGGTTGCAAAACAACCAAATTTTCGGCCAATTTTTTCCCCCATGGCTGCAAATTTATGGTTGATTGTTTAGTGGCATGTTTTTGTTTATCAATTGTTTTATTTTGACTGCAATTTTCAATTTGTCAAAGATTTGCCAAATATTACGGTACTCTAAACTTCTTTTACAAAAGCATACTTCATGCTAAATCTGAAGCTACCTTGACATCATAAATATATTGTGTGCGTGATAAATTTAGGTGTCCAAATATTAAAACTGCATGTCAGATGCTTTTGAACTTGAGTATGTAGATTTGTTTTTTTCTTTTGGATAAGTCATCTATGGACATAATTGATAATATTAGATCAATCCACTTATTGATGCTGAATTGATTAACACATATGTTCTTGAAATTATAATGCGGACACTTTTCCCATGGAGTGATGCTAGCCTTGCATTTTGCATAAAAGTAATATCATACATTGACTAATTGAACCCAAATATGCCATTTTAGACTCAAAACTAATCGAGTCCTGTGACTAGTGCATATTGGTTTTGATTAAGAAATTTCGTATATAACAAAAAGGAGAGAGCATGAATTATACGATAAAAACTCTCATTTCAAGATATCAATTTACTTATGATTGTTTATTTGCATTTTATCTAGAAATGACTGATCCCACTAGACCTGAATTTGACATCTTGGACTCAGAAGGACTTGAGTACCACCGTTGGGTTTCTGATGTAGAAATGGCTTTCGTGGCTAAAGACTTCTCTGCCACACTTAAAGACCCCAGTGAATTAAAAGATGCACCATCAAAAAAAGTTAAAGCAAATGCTTTAATGTTCCGAAGGCGACACATTGACCCAAGTTTATGTTGGAAATATCTTGAGTTGAAAACCCCCGAAGAACAGTGGGGTGCTCTTAAGTGAAGCTTTGGGAACATTCATGATACTCTGCTCGCAGAACTGAATGTGCAATGGAATGAAATCCATTTGCTAGACTTTCTTCATTCTCTCCATGCATGATGTTTTTGGAATAATTTCTTTTATGTTTCTACCAATTTCTTAGGAGTGTATCGAAGACTATTTATTGCATTTTTAGACTATGTGGAATTGTTTTAAATTTGCATTCAATTTAAATAAATTAAGGGATTTATGCCCCTATTTTTTGCATTGTGTGTTTCAGTTCTATATGCAATTCTCTCATTACACAGGCATGAATCGAGGTGAACTTGAGTTCTTAATAGATAGTGGGACTACTCATACCATTTTGCGAAATAGGCAACTATTCGTCACATGTAATTCAAGAACGTGGCACTGCCATTTTCTTACTCCCTAATGGTACATTGATTAAAGCCATAAATGCTCTATATGCACCTAGAGCTACTCGAACCTTGTTAAGTTTCAAAGACATCCGTGACAATGGTTTGCATGTTGAAACTCATTGTCAGAATGGTATTGAATACCTTTACATTACTTCTAATGAATACGGAAGAAAGCGCATCTTAGATAAGTTTAAGGGTAAGAGTAGTGGACTGTATATCACTACAATTCGAATAATTAAATCTTATTCTATAAGTCACGATGACATAAGGGATACTGAACGATATAGACTTTGGCATGATCGCCTAGGGCATTCTGGTCGTGACATGATGATTCGTATCCTAAAAAACTCTCACGGTCATCCTTTCTTCCGAGGCAAGGACAAAGCGACACAAAAACCCGACAGCTTGAAAAGCGGTCGACCCAATCTTGCCCAACTACGACAAATGCCTTCTAAAGAAATTGAAGCATCATCCTCGTCTCAAAATAATTTTTTGACAATGTCACATGCCCACAAATCCTTTTGTAAAGCTTGCTTATTAGAAAAAATAGGATCACGACCATCCTATGCTAAAGATTCAAAAGAAAATATACCATTCCTACAACGGATACAAGGAGATATATGTGGGCCGATACAACTAGAGAGCGGACCATTTCGGTGTTATATGGTACTGGTTGATGCCTCGACACGTTGGTCACACGTTACATTATTATCAACAAGAAACGCTGCATTTGCAAAACTCTTGGCACAAATAATTCGTTTAAGGGCTCACCACCCTGACCACCCGATCAAGTCTATAAGACTTGACAATGCTGCAGAGTTTACATCTAAGAACTTTGATGATTATTGCATGGCCATCGGGATCGATGTAGAGCATTCTGTTCCCCATGTACACACGCAAAATGGCCTTGCAGAAGCAACCATTAAAAGACTACAAATGGTAGCTCGGGCATTGATTATGCATTCTAATTTGCCCACATCTGCATGGGGTCATGCCATATTGCATGCAGCTTTACTTATTCGCTTAAGACCCACTGCTTCACAACCATTCTCTGCATACCAGTTGGTGACTGGTTATGAGCCTGACATTTCACACTTACGGATATTTGGTTGTGCAGTGTATGTGCCGATTGCGCCCCCACAGTGCACTAAAATGGGTACTCAAAGACGATTAAGTATTTATGTTGGATATGAATCCCCAACCATTATTCGCTATATAGAACCTTTGACAAGTGATCTTTTTACTGCTAGATTTGCAGATTGTCACTTTGATGAGACAGATTTCCCGTCGTTAGGGGGAGATAAGAAAAACTCTCCAAGCGAATGACAGGAAATATCTTGGTGTGTCCCCACACTGTCTCATTTCGATCCCCGTACTTCACATTGTGAAAGCGAAGTGAAAAGAATAATTGATCTTCAAAACGTGGCAAATTCGATGCCAGATTCATTTACTGATATTGCTAAAGTGACAAGATCACACATACCTGCTGCAAATGCACCTGCAAGGTTAGAAGTCTCAACTAAAAAGAAAAATGCCATAATGACAGGCATTACATCCGCACCGAGTGGAAGTGTGGGTGAGGCCGTGGCTCCTTAAAGGAAGAGAGGAAGGCCACTTGGTTCGATTGACACTCATCCAAGGAAGAAAAGGACGAGTGCGGCACAAACTAATCCGTTACACATCGATGTTGAACATCCATCCCATGAGATTATCTCTGGTTATAGTTATGTCCATGAATCATTACTGGAGGACGCTCCGATGTTTGATATGATTCAAGAGAATAAAGAAATCTCAATGGATTATGAAAGTGCACATATATTACTAGAAAGATCTTCAACACACATCGATGATGTTTTTGCTTTCAGTGTTGCTCTAGAGATAATAGAGCATGACGTTATCGAACCATGCTCTGTTGCAGAATGTTAACAAAGAGCAGATTGGCCTAAATGGAAAGAAGCAATCCAGGTAGAGCTCGATTCCTTGGCAAAAAGATAGGTATTTGGTCCGGTAGTGCTAACCCCTCCAAGTGTAAAGCCTGTAGGACATAAATGGGTATTTGTTAGGAAACGTAACGAGAAGAATGAAGTCTTAAGATATAAGGCTCGCCTAGTGGCGCAAGGTTTCTCACAACGCCCTGGAATTGATTATGAGGAGACATACTCCCCTGTAATGGATGTTATAACATTTAGGTACTTGGTGAGCTTAGCAGTTTCCGAAGAATTGGAAATTCGGCTTATGGATGTGGTTACTGCATATCTCTATGGGGATCTTGATTCTGAGATATACATGAAAGTACCAGACAGTGTTCCCTTACCCAAATCAAGTGACTCTAAACCACGGAGTGCGTTTGCGATCAGACTAACTTTATGGTTTGAAACAATCCGGTAGGATGTGGTATACCCGCCTAAGTGATTACTTGATTAAAGAGGGATATAAGAACGATGAAATATGTCCCTGCGTATTTATAAAGAAAGCAAGTTCTGGATTTGAAATTGTAGCCGTTTATGTTGATGATATGAACATAATAGGCACTCTTGATGAAATAAGAGAAACTGCAAATTATTTGAAATCTGAATTTGAGATGAAAGACCTTGGGAAAACTCGATTTTGTTTAGGCCTTGAACTAGAACATCGAGTTGGTGGGATATTAATCCACCAGTCTGCGTATGTCCAAAAGGTACTCAGGTGATTTAACATGGACAAAGCGCATACTGTTAGCACTCCCATGGTTGGCCGAAGTTTAGATCCTAAAAAGGATCCATTTCGTCCAAAGGAAGAGGATGAAGAGGTATTATGAGCTGAAATTCCATACTTAAGTGCCATAGGTGCATTATTGTACCTAGCTCAGTGTACTCGGCCGGATATAGCATTCTCGGTGAACTTGTTAGCTAGATTTAGCTCTGCGCCAACGCAACGTCACTAGAACGGTATCAAAAATATTTTGAGATATTTAAAGGGAACTAGTGATATGGGACTGTTCTTTCCATACAAAAGGACAAAGAAAACTGTGAATTCTAAGAAAATGGTTGAAGAAGGAAGTTCATGCTCAAATCTAGAAACACCAAATGATGTACTAATTGGGTATGCTGATGTAGGATATTTATCTGATCCACACAAGGGTCGTTCCCAAACTGGTTATGTATTCACAGTTGGTAACACTGCAATATCGTGGAGGTCAACAAAGCAAACTCTAGTAGCCACCTCATCAAACCACTCAGAGATAATAGCTCTGTATGAGGCAGTTCGCGAGTGTATATGGTTAAGAACTATCATTATACACATTCGCGGGGCTAGTGGTTTGAGACCAACCACTGAAGAACCCACATGCATTTATGAGAATGAAACTTGGATTTATCAAAGGTGATAACACCAAACATATTTCTTCCAAATTTTTCTACAATCAACAACAACAAACTCTCCTCAAGATCAAGGTAAATCAAATAAGATCTGAGGAGAATGTGGCAGATTTATTCACCAAATCGTTATCTAAAGCCACATTTGAGAAACATGTTAAAAATATTGGGATGCGTAGACTTTCAGATCTTCATTGATCATGTACACTTCAGGGGGAGATTTGAATATTCAAAGGTCTAGCTTTTTAAAATACAATGTGAGAAAAGGAATTTGGTTCCAAATAAAAAGGGTAACCCAAAACAATGAACCATTCCAAAAATTACTCCATTGTTATACGTACTTGTATCGCTAGCTTCATTCCTAGCCATGAGAAAAGAAGCAAGTTCTAAAAATAAGTGTCCCAAAACTGTGAACTGCTCTAAAACTGTTCTCTAGTTCTAAGACCAATTCTACCTACAACTCAGCACAAGGGGGAGTGTTGAAGGAATTTGTAAATTAATGTGCTGTTGTGTAGATAAAATTTACTTTATATTGTGTAATACAGTTGTAGTGGCCCGTGGGCCTTTTCTTGTAGAACCCAAGGATGCTCTTCCCTATATAAGGGAGCTTTTATCAATAAACAAGATACACTTCTTCCTACAACAATGGGGGGTTTTTAAGGGAACCATTATTTATTATAAATAAAAAAGGTGGGCCCTAAATATAATAGGCACCCTAAGGCCGAGGGGTATGCATCCCCTTTTTCCCTCTTCCCCTTCCGCCAATTCAACCCCACATCAGTTTTAGCTTTTCCTTCCTTTTTAGGGGTGTGCATTCCCTTCCCTTCTCCTTTCCCTTCCAATTTTTAATATTATTTTTTAACACTTATTTTAATTTACTTTTATTATGTCAAAATTTAAAATTAAAAATTCCCTTAAAATTAAATTAAAAGTACATGAATATTGATACATTAAAAAAATTAAGACACAATAAAAATATTGGTACACAATAAAAAACTTCAAAAAAATCTAAACATAATTCATATTTAAAAAATAAAAATACATACAAACCTAATCATCAACTACAATTCGTGGAGCAAAATTCTACAAATGATATTCCAAATGTGCACGTAGGTGGAAGTGCATATGCTAGTTGTGTAATGTAAACAAGTTCTGTAAGTTCGTGGGGTGCAGCAGAAATTACTAATTAAGAGCTATGCAAACAAATCAGTCAACCGTGCTGCAAAGAAGATACTACAGCACTGTCACAATAACGAGTGACAGACAGAGTGCTATAACATCTTCTCTGCCACAAGCACACACGCAAAATATAAAGTAAAAGCAGTAAATAGTACACGAGAATTGTTTACGCAGTTCCGAGCAACTCTCCTATGTATGCGGGGCCCACATCTGTGTAACAGCCCTTCCACTAAATCACCGTAAGAATTACACAACTAACCAATCACAAGAGAACCTTCTAATGTACTGATTTGTCTACTTA